ATTACTTGAATAAATACGTACAATGAGATTTAAAGTACTTTGGTTCTGCCTGTTCTGTGGATGAATACCATTTCAAACGATATATTACAGTACAGCAAAGATAAAATGATGAATTACATAGCTTTCCACTATTGATTTGCTTGTCTCAAAAGGTATAGAATGCTAAATTCAACTTGGAATATTCTTTTCTAAAAACATACATGGTAAGAAAAATTCATATTTACTTACCAGTCACATAGAGTTTAACAATCCTGGATATCTCCACCAGATCCACAGAAGACTGACCCTGCCTACAGTCAGATATGGAAGGTGGAGGGGTTCAGAAGACCCTACCTCTACTATTGAGCTAGTGGTTATTGATAGATTCTTAGAGACAGAGAAAAATAGACTTAGGTTGTGTAGCCACTGCCAGGCTCTAAAAGATAGTTCAAAACTCATGGTCAAGGGAAGGCCCTGGATCAACTCAGTGGGTCATGTAAAATAATAGACACAAACATGAGAGGTTAACAGGGATGAGGTGGTTGAACAGAGAGAGAGTAGGAATGGCTACTATGCATTATGTAGACCTGTTAGACTTTCTAAAATCAAACTATAGAAACATACACACGAACACACACACACACACACACAGAGAGAGAGAGAGAGAGAGAGAGAGAGAGAGAGAGAGAGAGAGAGAGAGAGAGAATTTGCCTGGAATGAATAGTCTCTAACGGTCCTGCAACCTCTGGAATCCTATGACCACAGGGTGCTTCCATGAGCAGGAATGCCAACCTGTGCTGTGTTACTTTTTTCTCTCACAGGTTATGCACCCTGACAGACACTAAAGCATATTTTTATATTACTCTTTTACAAAATGTATTTCTGAAGGATAAGCTGACAAAGGACATGGTGAATTTCCAAAATTAACTGTGAAAGACAGATCATCTGAAAGCCATGCATAACCTTTGTGTTCAGGTACTTCATTTCAAAAATGTCACTTTCTGCTCGTTCAATGAGACTGTCATTATACTATTTTAAGCCTTAAAATTTGTGTTCTCAAGTTGAACAGGAATTATTGCTTCTATCTTTGGGCTTATTAGAAATAATTTAAAATTCATTTAAAATGATAAAATCACCTTTTCTAAAATGGTTGGATTCCGTTAAATGTTGAAAATTGCAATGCAGTTCTTATTGTCTTTTGTATGTGTGACTTTAATTAGCAACAGTTCAACATCTGTATATGTGGCACAGGACTATTTTAAGGGCCTCAGAAAAAAAATTATACTAAGAAATAATTTTCTTTACTTTTAGATTCACCAGAAATAGATTAAACGTGAAATAAATTGGGGGATAATGTTACCTATAATTTAAGACTTTTCCATATATAGAGAAACTTTAAAAATATGACAGTGGAAATATATCATCATTGATCTATCCTGTAATATGTGTGCAAATAAAAAGCTACCTCCCTAGGAAATATGTTTACCTCTAATCTTACTTCCCAAATGAATTATGAGACTTTGGAAGGTTATAAAATAAAGATATAGGAATCCCCTTCCCCCCAGTCTCGAGGGAATGAATTCAATTATTTGTAATTTATTTAACAATTTACTCTCTACATAATCCTTATTCTCCCAATTCAAACTTTGCACAGTACTAATTCAGAGGGTCAGGGAAAGAACTACTAGAGTTAGATAAACCTGCTAGCCTTGGGCAGTCTCCACCAAACAGGAAGAGAAAGAGGCTTACCTGCTGGTTTGCAAGGGTTTCCCAGGAAAGATCAGCTAAGGGAACTGCTTCATCTGGCCATGAGCCAAGGAAGTGTAGGATCTAGGTGTTTTGCAACAAGTGTCAATCCAAGCAGCAAACCTCCAGTAAGTGTGTGAGAGTTAGGCAGTCTATGTGTGGGCATAAATTAGAGGTTGGAGAATTGTATCACAAGGAACCATGATTACTGTCCTGGTGGTACAAGCCTGATCCTGGGTGGATATTTGTCCTGAATAATGTTTTGTGGAACAAAATCATGCTCTCTTGAAGAAGATGAGATGGTGTGAGGCAGGGGATGAAAAAGATTTTAAACGATACCTTGGGATGTACTGTATTAAATTTTAAAATAATAAAAGTACTCATAAAATCCTAATACCACAGGATGGAATTCAAATAGGTACCTATCATTTAACTATAAAGGGTTCTTACATATTTACATAGTGATCAATGAATACATACTTTATCTTAGCTGCCTCAGGGTGACACTGCAAAATGGGGGCATGATTTAAATTACAGAAGTCCCATTCTCCATAGTCTTTAACATCAGCAGTCTAAGATCAAGACATGGCATATTTAGCTTCTACTGAGGCATTTTTGCCTGGCTTGTAGAAGGATGACTTTCCTCTGCATTCTGATATGACAGGCAAGGAGAAGGGAAGAGACTCAATTCTACAAAGGCCGTTTGTTCTCAAGACTTCTGCCAAGCTTACATGTCAACCACAGTTCTGTCTCCCAGTGCCATGATACTTGTTGTGGTCTTTAGTAGAATATGCGGGTGTCCTAGGGGATCACAGATCAATGGAATGTGCCAGGTTTGATCATCTCACTGATACCAGGAGACTCATGTATCATATTTGGCTTTCCTTGTACAAATTCTCTGTAATTAGTTCAAAATAATTAAACTGTCTCCATGAACTTCATATCATGAGCTTGTCCATATTTCTTAAGACTAACTATTCTAGTTTAGTTATACTATACATTCTTCTGAAATAGGAAATTTCTCCATTAATTTCATGAGTGTAGAAGATCTTTATTTCATTTTTGTGCCTTTTTGCAAACAAAACAGTCATTTGTTCACGATTTGAGGAAGATGCAAAGGTTATCTTCTCATCTGTGTGGGAAAGGAAGACATTGTCTCAAGGTCTCTCTGTCCACTCAGGTACTTTGGACAATCCTGTTTCCCCAATTATCTGCTTAGAATTTAAGAGAGAAGAATGAAAACCTTAATCTGAGTGTGATTGTTCCTACGCAGGGAAGTTACCCACATCACAACATCATCCTAACTGTAGGCTCAGATCAATCAGTTCCCCACAGGGCCCCCTCACTCTTATACTCTCCTTTTTGAGCCCAACAGCCAAAGGAAATTTATTTCCAGCATGATTAGTTTAGGTAATGCCCTGTGGTTGAAAGTAACAGGAAGTAAACTTCAAAGAATATTCTGGATAGATTTTCCTTCTTTGAGGTTTCCATTCTTTCAAAAATCCTTCCAGCGTGAAATCAGCATTGTCCTTGGGTAGCTTTGCTAGACTGCCAGTCTTAACTCAGGCTTGTTCATAGATAGCTTTGCTTTATCTTAATTTGTAAGTATTGTATGTACATAAACTGATCTTATTTTTTAATATAATAAAATTCATGCCAAGTTGGGTGATGGAAAGAAGAGCTTGTGGTTCTTTGGTTCCTTCTAGAGAGGAATTAGCTAACTAATTTCCACTTAATTATGTCTATAGACTTTTAATGTTTGGAAATAAACTGTTTCACTAAGCTAGTCTTTTGGGAAATGATGCTAGTTTTTAGTAGTAAGGTTTAAAGAAAAAAATCTAGATGCATTACAAAAAAAACTGTTTGATTGCAATGAGTACAGTTATCATCATGGACAAGTGGAAGAGAGTACCTGGAATTATAAACCCAGCCAAATGAAGTGTGTAGTAGAATACTTGATTGTTTTTGTCTTAAAGACACAATAGATGCACAAAGCAGCCACATACCCAGAACTCAGAAGAATTCCATTCTTTAGTAAATTTTAGAAAGGCTTTTGTGTCATAAGCTATGAGATTTGAAAATAGAAAAGGAGAAAATCAAAGTTTCCTTATTGTTATCTTGACACCCCTCTTAGTCTGCAAATCATAGAGTAGTCTGGCTAGCTTTGTCCAAGTTTGGAGATGGTAAACTCTGATGTCAGCTGACTCGTGTACTGGCATCTACGTAAGCCACTAGGTCTGCCATGCTGTGTCATGAGATAATCCATATAAGTATTAATCAACACAACAAGGTAATAAATCCATAACAAGAATCCAGAATCTTTCTTCATAAAACAAATTTTAGTTGCAGACATTTTTCACCCAGGTCTACCTTTCAATATGGTGTCAACAAATTCGTTTTCTATCAAAATTTGTAGAGCAGTGATAGGACTTCCAGCCCAGAGGGAGGTGGTTCCTTGTTCTACACATCTGTCACAAGTTCCCAGTTCCCATCAGTTATTGAAGCTTATTCATTACCCCTTTATTATTTTCCTTTAAAACTCTCCAGGGAATTCAGAATCGAGAGTGGTCCATCACTACACAAAGATAGCATTGGGCATGCCTTAAGATATTTGCTGGAAAAAAGTAGATGAATGCACCCTAAACCACAGCAGGATCTAGAGATTAACCTGTCTAGACTCATAACACTTTCATAGCAGTCTCTCTGAAGTCTTGGATCCATCTTCATAGGAGCTATTTATTTGCGTTGGCACAGGGATTAAACTCAACAAACTGTGATGTTTTTGTTTTTATCCCAAAAAGGTGAAAGCATTTGTTACAGCCACACCAGTAAAATATTTCAATTTCTGTTAATTTTGTGACCATTTATGTGAACATACATCATATTCTCCCTACCGTCGTCTAATTTCAGTCTCACTTTTCCAAATTTATTTTTACGTATTATTATCCAAGAAACTTCACCCTTAAGTTTTTCATTAATAATCCCAAGGCACAGTAGTAACTACTGCCCCAGTCTAATGCCTTTATCAGTGTTGAACGAGTAGCTAGATAATAATTAGTCCGAAATTAAGAGTCGGTATAATTCTACCACCAAGATATTCTATGGGACATGTTAGACCATGAGTTTGTGGTTTAATCAAAGACTCAAACTAACTAATAATGAAGTTGACTACTCTTTGCCTCAAAGAATTACAGAAAACCCAAGCACAGGTCAAATATGAAATCTTTCCAATTTATTCATGTTTTACTCCTCAATCCCTTTTACTTTTCTTTCAGTGTCTGCCAAGCCAAGACCCCACAGTGACGAATATTCAAAGAAAATCCCCCCACCAAAACCAAAACGGAATCCCAACACTCAGCTTAGCACATCATTCGATGAAACCTACATCAAAAAACATGTGCCAAGAAGGACCTCGCTCCCACGAGATTCATCTCTGTCCCAGGTTTGCAGCCCTGCTGCGGACCCGGAAGAAGAGGAGCCCGTGTACATCGAGATGGTGGGTAACATTCTGAGAGACTTCAGGAAGGAAGAAGACGACCAGAGTGAGGCTGTGTACGAGGAGATGAAATACCCCATTTTCGACGACCTCGGTCATGATTCCAAATGTGATTTCGACCATCACAGTTGTTCTTCGCAGTGTGCTACTCCCACGGTGCCTGACTTGGACTTCCTCAAGTCTTCAGGACCATGTACTCCTAAGGGTCTGCTCTGTGACATACCCCCACCCTTCCCCAACTTACTTTCTCATAGACCACCCCTGCTGGTGTTCCCACCTGCCCCAGCGCACTGCTCCCCCAATTCTGATGAGTCTCCGCTGACCCCTCTGGAGGTCACAAAGCTTCCTGTATTGGAAAACGTGTCTTACATGAAGCAGCCACCTGGAGCATGTCCATCCTCCCTGCCATCGCACACCTCCAGCCACACTAAAGACCAGACCGGAGCCCTGGGCCCGGCGCCTGCAGCTTCTGTGCTCTCCTCGTCTCCTCCGCCTCCATCTACTCTGTACAGAACCCAATCTCCTCATGGCTATCCAAAAAGTCATTCTACCTCCCCATCCCCTGTCAGCATGGGGAGGTCCCTGACGCCCTTGAGTCTCAAGAGGCCTCCCCCCTATGATGCTGTGCATTCTGGCAGCCTCTCAAGAAGTTCTCCCTCAGTGCCTCACTCGACTCCCAGACCCGTGTCGCAAGATGGGGCAAAGATGGTCAACGCCGCAGTGAACACCTACAGTGCTGCGCAGAGCGGTTCCAGGTCCCGGACACCAACCAGTCCTTTGGAAGAGCTCACCAGCCTTTTTACCTCAGGGCGTAGTCTGCTGAGGAAGTCATCCAGCGGCCGAAGGTCCAAAGAGCCTGCAGAGAGTAAGTTGAGCAACCTCATCTGGTACAGGCCTCAAAACCAAAATGAGGCTCCATTGGTGCATGCATGCAAAGCTCAGGGGACTTGCTTCTGAGTCTTTATGATTCCAATATCAAAATGTAACGACATTTTTAAATTTCTGTTACTCACTTAAAGAATTACTGCGTTCTGAGCGGGCACTCACCACAAAGATTAAAAATGGCAATCTGCCCAGTTGTAATATATTCTACTCCCCAAAAGGTGTGAGTTTCTTAAGGCTATAATTGAAATTATTACAATGGCCCCAAAAGGTCTAGTGATGAACACCATGCATTTTTTAGGTAAAAGGTTTGATTTGGAGGAACCTAAACATGTACATCCAGAATAGTTAAAGACAAAATTTATCTAAGATTACAACAACTCAGTTGTTGAAGACTTTCTGCAGGAAATCCTGCAGGAAAGACAGCAAATTGGACAAAGTTTGAGGTTTCTTTCCCTTTCATATAAAGAATAGTTCTGTCTACACGCTTCATATGATCACAGGCTTCCCTCCACTGTCAAAGAGAACACTCGATTCTCTGCTACACACCATGGGAGGGGATGGAGAGAGAGCTCAGTAGCTAAAAGGACTTGCACATGGCTTGGTTCACAGCTACTTCTAATTCCTGATGGTGGGACTCTGGCGTCTTCACACATTTTGGAAAACAGGCAACACACACACACACACACATACTCCAATAGCACCACCAGCACCACCACCATACCACAAACAACACAGACACACATACAGCCACACACACACACACACACACACACACACACACACTTACACATTCCAACACCACCATACCACGTACCACACAGACACACATACAGCCGCACGCAGGCGCACATACATACACACACACATACATATAGACATACAGACACACACAGAAACACACATACATACACCACCACCACACCACACACACACACACACACAACGAATCTTTAATAAAATTTAAATCTTATGTTTAAGTTATTCTTCCTGGATCCATTGTTGTGTATATTATATGAAATAATTAAGGTATAAAAAACTGTTGCCAGGGAGTTTTAAAGACCAGAAATTTCAGTTTCTGAGTGACTAGTTCTTTCATGAGTCCTACATAGCTCACACCATAAGTCTGTTAAAAGTCCCATGCAGTTCCGGGTCAGTTGTCTACATGTCCAGATAATTAAGTCACACTAATTTTTGTTTGTTTTGATTTAATCGTGATTTAGTCATTTAAACTAATTTAATCATCATATGTCAAATGAGTCCACCATGCAATCTGGTTGTCTACTTATGTAGTTCTACTGTTTAAATGGGGAAGAAAAGAAATCCCTATCACTTTTTATGCTGGGGATGACCATGGCATTCTCAAGTAACCCATAATCATTTGTAGCCTTTTCCTTTCTTTACCAGGAAATAATTATAAATGCACTAGTTGATCAAATAATACTCTCCCACATTTTTTATGAGCCTAAGCAGTAGTTTTTAATACCTTCAACATTCTTGAGTTACATCTATCTATCTATCTATCTATCTATCTATCTATCTATCTATCTATCTCTTTAAATTATTTTAAGAATTTAAAAATTAAGGGGATTCTATATTTCATGTTAGATGCATGAAACAAAACTATATGTGTATATAATATCTCAACATCTCAGATCACTCATGCACACACTCAAAGTTCTTAGGAGCAGTCTATCTATAGAACAGTTGTTCAGAATTCAAACAGTTTTTGCCTGCAGGGATGTTTGACAATGTTTGGTTGGCACTCTGGGATGATACTGTGTCTACAATGCAGAAGTTGGGATTATAGAGAATAATTAAAACTACTCACTAAAAGGCAGGTCCATTGCGAGTATAATTTTTAGAATAAAAGAGAAAAATGTGAAGGAATTACTTACTTCTAAAATATACAATTCCCCGGTGTCATTATCAGGCATTTCACTTTGGATTGGTAAAACTCTTGGGCTTCCTCCCTACCTATCAGCTTCCTTGGCGAACCCTTAACACCTTCAGTTGGCAGATGGACCAATTAGCTAGAAAAACTGTATATAAAGGAACAATTAACTAATGAAGTTTTTTCAGGGGGAAAAGTCCATCTGATATCTATGTGACATATATCAGAGACACAACTCTCTGACATTGAAAGGGCTTTGCATTCTTCAAGAACAAAGCTTGTGCAAGGAAGAGTGACCTGGGACCTTTGCAGGCTTTTGGAGCCAAGGACTGGATTCTTTTCTGTCATCTATTGGCTGTGTTACAACACTTCAGAGAAAGTCATGCTGAGTTTCATTAGACCTGACATTTTATTCTACATGAATAAGAGGGAAGAGAAATGAAGAGTAGGGATGAATAATTAAAACTTTAATTGTCCTTGGCTATAGAGAAAAATAGAAACATATTACTTTATGCTAAAAAAATAGAACTCTTAGAAATATTATGTGATGCACAGAAACCAAATTGCTAATAAATACAAGTTAGCTACTAATCGTTGCTTCGCTACCTTCCATGACATCTTCTTTCCTTTATCCCAGTCTGACAGGGTTGGTAGGCACCTGTTGACATCATAAACACAGAACAAGTGACATGACGTAGTGAAAGATCCATGACTCGAGTGTCATTAAAGGTTTTTTTATATAATATTTCAGGATTATTTTACATTCTAGGGATATTTGTATCTGTTTTCCCTCCCGCTTTATGCATTTGAAAAGTGAATTCCCTGGTTAGAGGCAAGGCTGTGACTCTTGCCTTCAGTTCAACGAGCTACACTAGAAATTGGGGAGAAACAGTGTTTGCTGGGCTCACTTTCTAGTTCTCGTGCTTACAGGCTCATGCTTAGCTAGCTTTCTTATACACCCAGGAACAATTCCTTAGGACTGGTACCACTCATAGTGAACTGTTTCCTTATGAATCAATTAACGACCAAGAAAATCCCTCATGGAAGCTGGAAAGATGGCTCAGTTATGCTTCTTTCTTTTACAGAGAACAAGAGTTCCGTTTCCATCATTAATTACAAGTATCCCTAATTCTAGTTCCAGGAGTCCTTTTGACCTTCATGAACATCAGGTGTACAGGTGCCACACAACATACATGCAGGCAAAACACACTCAAAAAAATATCTTTAAAAAAATATTCTCTCAGAGACCTGCTCACAAACTAACCTGATAGAGATAGTCAAGTTTCCAGTCCTAAGCATGAACCTCAGAAATCTAGAATTCGTATATTTGACTGCAGATATCACGAACACCATTGTGCTGACCTCATGGTCACCACTGTCCAGTAGCTTCAGAGTCCATGACTACCCCAGGGAAATTAAGACACTGATCCAAACCCCAGCTATGGATAGGAGAGTGGCTCAGCAGGTATGAGAGCTTATGGCACAGGCATGACAGCATGGATTCAGATCCCAGCGCCCATATAACATGCCGGGAACAGGTGCTCATGTGTCTTTTATGCTAATGCTCTAGCAGGGGGGACAGGAGGATCTCTGGAGGGTGTTGCTTATCAGCCTCCCTCCTGGTTCAGTGATGGACCCTGTCGCAGAGGAATAAAGCAGAGTGCTAAAAGAGGAACCCAATCTCATCCTCTGGCCTCTGCACGCACGCGCGCGCACACACACACACACACACACACACACACACACACACACACGTACACGCACCACACATATATCAAACACATGCAAACAATAACAACAAGGAAGCAGCTAACGGCAATGACACTCTCACAACAGAAGACCAGGCACGGACACGGGTGAACACAGGAAGAACAACAGACCCTCAGTAAATGCTCTCAGCCCCACCTTCTTTATCCCCTAGACCCGTGAGTCTGTCCACGCAGATATTTGCTTTTAAAATGAAAGAAAATATACAGTTCTTTAAGAATGAGCCAGTCTCTTTAATCAGTCTTCCTTTAAAGCTAAACTACCCTGTATTCAGGGTGGTAAGGTTAAGTGAAAAATAACTAAAATTCCTTGATTTTGAACATTCATGTGACTCCAAATTAATTGGGATAGCGACTTTGTCTGTTTTCCTTGTTCAGTTTATCCTAGAACTGCAGCTCAGAATCACTGAAGAAAACATAATTTCATAAATAATTGCTCACCTTTCTGGGGGTACGCTGCAGCTGGCTTTGATTGATTCAAGTAGACATGTTTATTCCCAGTGTTTATATTCACTGGCTGCTGAATCTTTAAGTGCAGTTTCTTGTCAGCAATTTAAGCAGCATTTCTCTCTGTTAAAAAGAACCCGTGCTGCTTTAGACTCTACAATTCAGAAACAAACTACAGTGGTCTATTTAAAAAAAGACTCTCTCAGTCATACCTAAGTCACACCAGTGGAATATACAACTGATTTCTTTTGCTCCTCATCATTTAGATGAAACAGAATATTTATTATCTGTGTTTTATTTACTTCATGGATTTTGAAATTTTAAAAAATATAATTAATAAACTCCTATGTTTAAGTAAGAAGGTAAGTTCCTTGTGCCATATTATAGTGCCTGTTGTGTGGCCTCTACTTGACTAAATGATCTAGGGATTTAGAACAAGACTAGATGCCATAAGAAGTACTTTCCATCTTGGACTAACCACAAAGTGTTAGGACTTTGGATAAGGTTTTTATGCCATATTTTTCCAACCTACAATAGAAAATACTAGGTGGTAAAACTCAGCTTTCTACTGCTTATGGGTTTTGTGCTTCTATGGACTTATGGATGACCTGACGAACCCCAGACACACCTCTGAGTCTTTGTGTTAGAAGTCTTCACTTGCTCCAGGGATTCCTATAAATTCCATAAAACAGTGTCAGTTTTACCCTGGAGTCTCTACCTAGAATCTGTCAACTTATAATTTTACATAGATAGATTTTGTGTGCTTTGCTTGTACTTCTGTAACGATCTGTAACCTAGTCTAACATCTCATAATTTAACAAAAATCATTACTAAGACAAAAGGTAGGTAGGGAAAGAGCTAATCTTACAGATATTT